TTTAAACATGTTCTCATTTTTGTGTTACCATTTATTGCATTTGAAGTATTAGAAGATCTGTAGAAAATTTATAATTTGACAGTCAATTTTTAGAAGCATAAATGTTTAAAAAAAAAAGTTGAAAATATGTTTCAACTGGACCTCTCTTGACCTTTTGAGTTCAAGACAAATATACTTTTTTGTTCTGATTTCATGTTCTCTTGAAACATTGAATATATACCTGGTTATAAAAGAGACGCAGTTGCCGAAAATTAAGAAGCTAAATACTGGTCACTAATCTTTGCCCATATGTATATATTTTTTAAAATTCATTTTGAAGTGTGATTAATGGATGCTTTTCTTTGAGTTCTAAATTTTGATGAAAATTGAAAGTCTCCATTTCACAGAAAATACAACTAAAGCAAGAAAAAGAACTTTTAATCCTTTGCTTTTAAAACACTTTGTGTTTTTTTTTTCTTCAGTTTATTAAAAGAAAATATTCTTCCCTGAACTTCTTTCATTGACAAATCCAGTTAGGCCACCTTCCTCTAAAAATAAAAATATTTATTTTATAGTAAAATAACTTGTAATAGATAGAATTGTTTTCATTGTTGGCTGCTTACAAAATTTTTATTTTTTATTTTTTTAATGTTATGTTACACCTACACCGCTTAATATATCTTTTGTGAATTTTAAAATAAATTAGTATTAAGTTAACATTATTTTAAGAAGTTTGGTTAAAGGTTGCTTTATAATTACATAAGCCATGTATAGAGTGGGGGTGAGTGAAGGTGGTGTATTTGTGAGGTGGTAGTAGAAATGCGTCATAAATTTAAAGTACATTCCAAAGGTGTGTACTGAATGTCCTGTGTATGGTGCATATTTTCTAGGTAATAAGAATTGCATTTAACTGGCAGCATTTTATTTGTATTATGTAAGATAGAACTTTATAACTTTACTCTGTGAGGCACTGTTTACGTACTGTGAAGACTTGAGGTGAATTTGTGTCTTGTAAGAGCTTTGTGTGAGCAGAGTATCTTGGCAACTGTAGATGCGCATTTAACTCTGTTAGTAATTACTCTAGAGAAATCTTAATTTTACCAATAGGAAGAAAAGTTGAATACTTCTTCTTTTTAAAAGTTCATGTTTCTAGCCTTTAACCATTCAGTTAATAAGAAAGGAATAACTTTACATTAAGCTGTAAAACATCACAGAAAACTTAAGTCAGTATGTTAGATATTTATTCCACTCCATTGCAGTAATAACAAAAAGAAACCTATAAAAAGTCAAAGCATTAAGAAATTTAAAAAACAGGCTGCTTTAGTAGTTTAAAAAAAAAAAATTTACATTAGAACTGATTATACCAAATGGACAATAAATATTCATCTTATGAAATACTAAAATTAGATATTTGAGATAGGCCCAACTAATCATATGAAAACACGGGACACTGACGTGACAGGGATTCATTTAGCTCCAATCATAGCAGTTTTGTGGTTTTTTCACACTTACTGTGTCTTTGTGCACAAATAAAATATTTTGTAACTTCAGTGTTAATTTCATGTAAGGATATAGATGAACAAACTTGCTCATTATATGAAATAGATTTAAAATGAGTGGCACATATAAATAGGTTTTTGAATGGGTATTTTCTCTTTAATTTAAAAAAGTAATATTTATTTATTAAAAGGAGCCTTGGTAGAATATTTTTTGTTTGTGGTATATTCTTTAATAAATCCTGTAATTATATATACTGATAACTAGGTTATTAAAACATAATAGTAGTCCTCATTTTTGTTTTAGATGTTTGTAAAGTATAAGATTACTCAAAGGACTCAAGGGTGGAGGGTCTGCATCATGTTTATCCTACAAATAGAATCCATTTTATAAGCTGCCATTTATCAAACGGGATTGGGAGGTGATGCCACTTCATCTGTAAGATTTTTTTAAAAATTATGATTATGGCTTTTGGGCTATCTTTTGGTTTTGTTTCTTTTTAGTCTTTAAAAAATGTCTTCCCCCTTATCTCTCAAGGAATGCCCCTCTCTTTCCTACAGGGCTATGAATTAAGGAATTGGTAGTTGTACATTTAAGCACTTCAGAGTCTGCCCAATTTCTTAATATATGCATTTGTTTTCCTTTTTAGTTATTCTTGATTTAAAATACTAGAAGAAAACATAGATCTTCCTAGTGCCTTTGAACTTACACTGTAGGCTGACTAGTTTAAATCATTAATAATTTCAGTAGCATTACTACAATACTGTATACTGGCCTAAATTACAAATTGTACAAGTTTGTTGCATTAATTTCAAAATCCACACTTCTATTGTATTTTATGTATAAATTGTATTTGTTGAAGTTGTACATATTGATATTGTATATATATGTGCAGCATGGTTAAATAAGAAATAAAAATGTTTACATAATGCCTGTAGTAGCGATCTGCTTCTTTACTGAATTGTTTTTGTGTTTATGTCCACCCTGATATTAATAGGCAGTTTTTTTTGTGCTTGGCATGTTCGTTTCATGCGGTTAAGAGAGGACTGCTATAATTTCACACCCAGAAACTTATACTGGTGTGGGTCTTTAACAGAAACTGGGAGAGAGATTTTTATTTTTTAAAATATGTTTTTATTGATTTTTTAATTTAATTTTATTTTTTAAGAGAGAGAGGAAGGGAAAGGGAGAGAGAGATAGAAAACACCAATAAAAGAGAAACATCACATCCATTGGCTGCCTCCTGCACTCCCCCTAGCTGGGGTCAAGCCTACAACCCGGACATGTGCCCTGACTAGGCATCGAACCAGCGACCTCTTGGTGCATGGTGTGATGCTCAGTCCACTGAACCACACCAGCAGGGCTGAGAGAGAGATTTTTAAATGTGATTCTTCTCATTGATAATATTTGTTTTCACCAAAAATATTTCTGTGCAAGTTTTGTTACCCTTTTCATTCTGTGTTTGAGAACAGAAACTTAAATAAGTGTGTATGCAGAATGTATCTCTCTAAAAGGTGAAAGGGGACCTTTCTGAGTGGTAACAATATCACGATCTCTTTCAAAAATTTTTAATGAGATTAAAACATCTCCCAAACAGTAACATTGCTTGGATTATTGTTAATCATGAGTCCTTTTGACAAATACTTACTGATTACCAGGCACCGTGCTAGGGCCTTGAGTTCACAAAGGAGTCCAGAAGTTTTGATTTGTTGGCAAGTTTCAAAGGACTTAAATGTGCTTTTTGCAGAGGCTTGCTCTTCCTTTTCCCGTCTGCTAGCTTATGTAAAACTCCAGCATGTGTGTAGAGCGTGAAGATAAAATTAAAGACCTGCCCTGGCATAAACAGCATGTTGTCCATCCCATCTTCTCATGAAGACCCTCCAGAAATTAAAAAATCCCACAAGTATCAGCCTAAGGGACCACGGGTAGCCTGTGCCTAGGGGAGCAGTGAGCATGGTGCTGAAGCCACAACCTAGGGTGAGCTGGAGGAGCCTTCCAAATACATTTGTTATAACATTATCTGAATGTCACATTCTTAAGCCGTTTCATTTGCAAAGCAAATCAGATACTCAGTTCTCCTTCGGAAGTTGAACAAATGTGTGGGAAAATGATTATGAAGAGGCTACTTCAAAAAGAACCTGTTTCCTCTCAGCATTTATCTTGGGCTTCCTGTGACCCAATCTTCAAGCTACTTTTATCAACGTTATCAGAACATCACTTTGTCTTACCCAGCGCGTTTATGGCTCTGACTAAAGAATATGACAGATCAGACATCCTTCCACACCTGCTCCCCTCCCCCATCCCTTTTTTGAGGGCTGGGGAAATTTTAGTGTTTAATCAAAGGCTTTATTTCTCCAGTTGTACAAAGGAATTTAACTGGGACTTTACAGCTGACTACAATATGTCTCAGAGTTGATACCAATCTTAGCAAGAGGATATTGCCTAACCCAACCTAAAAGTACCAGCATCATTGCAGAAATACTGTGCTGACCTTGATTTCTACTCCATCATGGGTTATGCCACTCAGTCATCAGGCATCGTGTGGATTTACTGTGTACCTACCCTGCGCTGAGCAGCGGCCCTGGCAAAGCTCACAGGCTCCCTCGGGAGGGAGAGGTGGCCGTGTAGATGGAGAAGGGCAGTGCAGCGTGAGGGCTGTAGTCGAGGGCGACCGTGAGCTGCCAGGCGTGGCTTTCTTCCCCAGCAGCTAACACGGTGCCCATCACACATCTACCTGACCAGGGGTCAGAAAAGTCTGCTTCTCCTCAGGGAACTGCTGCAGGAGGTGTGACCCAGTCTAACACGTGGGGAGAGGCATTCCAGGCAGCAGGGTGTGGTCTGGATCCCGATGCCATGTGCCTTGGTGGTATGTTTGAAGTCAGGCATAAGGGGTGGGGACATCTGAGTCTGAACAGGAAAGAGATAGGCCAGGCTCCTACTGTTGAGTTTTCCGTAAGCAGTGGGAAGCCACGGAAGGATTTTAAGTAGGTCACTCACGTTTGTGTTTTAAAGAAGCTGTCACTGGAAAGATGGTGAAGGATGAGATGGGCCCCTGGGAGAGCAGATGACGTTGCACCAAGTCCCAGAGACTGAACTGGTCGTGAGCCAGAGGAGCCAAACGCTCTCCCCTCAGCTGGGGCTCTCGCACCCATGGCTGGTACCTGGACTGACGAAACATCTGTATCTTCTCTTTGCTCACATTGCCTAGCAGGTACCCAGGTGTGCAGTCGGCGCACAGAACATCAACACATGCTAGTGTTTGCTTCAACGCTGGCTATTGGAAACAGGAAAGGAACAGACCGCTTAGAGACTGAAAGTTGAACTGGGAAGAAGTGGGCAGGAAGGATGGATTGGAAGAGAAACACTTTAGAGAGCTGAAGAGAGAAGGTCTGAGTGTGTGGGGCAGAGACTGGGTCAGGAAATGCTAGGCATGGCAGGAATAGGAGACTTCCACCTGGGAATGGGAGCCCTAATGAGTGGACAGATTGAACCGAGGAATCAGCCCGAGGCTAGAGTCAGCGCCTGGCCCGGTCTCTGGGGAAGCTGGTCAGAACGAGAGGCTCCCCGTGCATGCCCATAGCCGGCCGAGCCGTGCTCCCTGAGAAACCTGTGCGCTGCACTCTGTCCCCAGAGTCCTCAGTCTCAGAGGATTTGGGCACCTTGAGAGGCCGACCGACATGAATGTGGAGGAAGGTGGGGAAAAACGGCCAGGTTACAGGATGGGAACACCGATCAGCAGCAGCAGGAGAGCCCCTGATGCATTTTCATTGGAGGCCAGCATTTCTAACTGTGGCCCAGAAATGTTTCAATAAAAGACAGCTATAGATTTGAGTGAAACGTGGTTTTTTCCTTTTTTCCCCTTGCATGGGTCAGGATTTATTTATTTGTTTTAAATTACAGTTGACGTTCAGTATTCTGTTAGTATCAGGTGTACAGCATAGTAGTGAGACAATCATATATTTTACAAAGTGTTCCCTCCGATATTTCTAGGCCCTACCTGGCACCATGCACACTTACTGCAATATTATTGACTATGTTCCCTATGCTGTACTTTACATCCCCATGGCTGTTTTGTAACTACCAAATTGTACTTCTTAATCCCTTCGCCTTTTTCACCCAGTCCCCCAGTCACCTCCCCTCTGTCAACCATCAGTCTGTTCTCTGTATCTATAAGTCTGTTTCAATTTTGTTTTGTTCATTTATTTTGTTCTTTAGATCCCACGTATAAGTAAGATGGAAATGTTTTTTTCCCATTTATTTATTCAATAAATATTTATTACCTACTAATGCCAGTTAGAGATATAATATATTCACAGGTAAAAGGTAGAGGTAGCTGATAGCAGGGAGGGAGGGGTTCGGCCTTCGTTGTCAATGTCGCCCATTCCGTGCGCAGGCCTGGGCCGTGGCTAAGTTTCCTAAATGAATGTGCTTAGAAGACAAGCATCCCGACTTTCACTTAATCCTGAAGCCTCTTCACTCATTCTTTTGATGCGCGTCTTCAGTTCATGTTGTCCCACTCCCTTGGTAAACTCGGGGGCTTACTGTTGCGTGTTTTCAGTCCAGAGCCCCAGCATCACCTGTCAGGAAGTCAGTAGAGAGTTAGTCGCCTCATAACCATTGAAGCTTATTTTAGGATCCTGCCTGGAGCCTGCATATGTCCTTTCTATGGCCCATTCTAAATACTTCTTCCCGACAGCCTTTCTTGTACCATCCTGGCTTCATACACAAACTGTAACCCACAACTCATATCCTGTGGCAGACTACAGCTCATATTAGCCATTGGATGCAAATGAGTCTCAATCAGAGAAGAAAGGAAACAAATTTTCAATGCGGCCTTAGAAGGCTCCATGACTCTTAGTTACTTGTTGCCCTTGGCATGCTGGTATTTTATGTGGGCAGGGTGAAACTGGCTGTGGTCAGGGTGAGACTTTAAGCTTTTGATTTGTTCCCTTATTTTGAAAGGGTTAAAAAGATGTTGCATGTTTTGGTATAATTTTAGTACTAGTATTAATTTTTGTCACGTGTAAGTGAGGGTGAAAAAAGCGCTCATTCACGGCTCCTGGGCCCATATTCTTGCAGGGGCCACGTCTTCAAAAGGCAGGTTTCAATGACTTGACACTTGTTCTCTTCCCCTTTAATTTTTTTGAAAATAACAGCTTTATTGAGATATAACTCACACTATAAAATTCACCCTTTTAAAGTGTACAATTCAGTGCTTTTTAGTATAGTTACAGAGTTGTACAACCATCACCACTATCTAATATCAGAACATTTTATTACTCCCCAAAGAAACCCTATGTCCATTAGCAGTCATTTCTGCACCCCCTGCGGCCAATATTCTTTTTGCCTCCATGGATTTGCCTCTTCTGGACATTTCATATAAATGGGATCATACTATATGTAACCTTTTGTGCCTGGCTTCTTCCATGTAGCATAATGTTTCCAAGGTTTATCCATATTGTAGTAGGTTATTGGTGTTTCATTTTTTTAATCATCAAATAATATTTTGTGGTATGGATATGCCACATTTTGTCTATCCATTCATTGGTTGATTGGCAGTTGGGTTGTTTCTGCTTTTTTGCTGTTATGAGTAATTCTGCTATGAACATTTGTGTAGAGCTTTTTGTGTGGACACGTTTTCAGTTCTCTTGGATATACACCCAGGATTGGAATTGTGGGGTACTGTGGTAATTATGTTTAGCCTTTTGAGGAGCTGCTGTAGTTTCCCAAAGTGCCTGTACCATTTTCCAATCACACCAACAATGTCTGAGAATTCCAGTTTTTCTACATCTTCGTCAACATTTGTGATCATCTGTCTTTTTAATTTTAGTTTTTTAATTTTTAAAAACATTTTATCATTTGTGTGCATGGCCACACACAGATTTAAAATGGAAAGCCAACAGCCTCCTTATGTTGCTTTCACCCCTCCTTATGAAAGTCCCGTTCCCAGCAACCCTCCTTCCCTTTTTGTTTTTAATTTTTCTGGTGGCTACCATCATAATATCAAAAATCTCTTGATTCCCTCACTCTTGGTTTTTTCTACTTTTTATTATAAAAACTTTCAAACGTGTGTAAAAGTGGAATAGTACAATCAACCCCTGTGTACCCACCCCCAGCTACCACAATCAACTCATGACCACTCTTACCAACTATTTTTTGATTTATCAACTTTAGATATTGTGTGTTGATTTCCCTATTGGAAAGTGAGGGTTTGCCTCATTAATTTACCCCTTCCAAATGTTTTATAGTAAATTATTCTTAGATCTTTTATTACCTTTGCAATTTTGAATAAATACTTAAATCTCTTGCTCTCATTCCATCAACCTTAGACAGTATTGCTTAATGGGCCCTCTTGCTGAGTGAGCTGGGGATATTAGGTCCCCACCTCTCCTTCTTTCTCTCTGCTTTTACCTCTCAACCATTTTTAGCTAAGCCTTTAATATTGTCAGGTTGGTAGCATTTACAGTCTGTTCTGTAATCATAATTCTTCTGTGCTTTGTTTGTTGGTTCTAAGACTTGAGAATCAAGAGAATTTACGTTATTAGGACTTTAAATTTGATTCACTGCAGAGCCCTGTAGTATGTGCTAGAATTACTTTTTTCCCTATAGTCTCAATATAACAACCCTGTGTCAATGAGCGAAACGTGTTCTAAGCACCCAGTGGACACCTTTTCCATTCAGAATTATTTGGTAGTCAGCAGGACCTACAGACCCGCTCTGCAAGCTCGCTCTCATCACTTACGTCTTATGTGGGCTTGTATTCTTTAATCATTTTGTGCATTATTCCCCAGCTAGAGAGAGGAAAGCAATCTTTCCTTTTTGACTTCCATACTAGTTTCTCAGTAAATGAACTTGGTTTCCCCAAATGTTGTCAAGTAAGGCGCCAGTGCTAGGAAAGTGAAATCATGCTGTCAGATTCTACATATACTTTATTTTATGATGAGTTATAAATATATAAATATTTTTAAAATAAAGCTATTAAAAACCCATAAATTAAAATATTCAGCTTCAACTCTTTGAGTATTTCTCTTGCATGACCCTCCTTAACCTTTCCAAGAAGTCTTTCAGGGTGCTCTTCTTGTCTTCGTGCACGGGACAGGAGGTCTACAAAAGAAATGTTTCGTTAGCTTGCATTGCTAAATATTTGAGTCTTGCTGTCCTGCCTGTCTGCTCTGGTCAAGCCTTCTCTGGCACTTACCACCTGAACAATGATCTAATCAGGGCGTCCAGTCTAGCTTGACCGGGAGTGTGGCTCCGCCACTGGGCCTGCAGGGCTTGCCTGTTTCCAGTGCGTGCTGCTTACGCTCCTGGGAATGGATACTGCGCCATCACTAGGGCTCTGCCTTTGGGGGTGCCACAGTGTCTGGAGGGGTGTGTCACACACACAGCTAGGTGCTGCTCAGGGCATAACGTGAAGGTGGGGGCTGAGACCTGTCCACTGCTGTCCAGGCCTTCTGTGGGGCTGCCTGGGCTGCTGAGGGAGCTTCAGTCCATTTGCCCTCCTGCCCAGTAAGCAGCTACCACAGCTTGGCAGCACGGCGGGTGGAAAGGATTCCAGGTACCTGCTGCCAGGCCACTGCTTCAGTTTGGATCTCAGCTCTACCAGTTTATTAATTGCATTGCTTAGGACAAACATTTCCTTTCTAAAACGCTTCGGTTTCCTCTTTTGTAAAATGCAAACAGTAGTGCCAATTTTATAAGATGATTAAGAGGATTGAAAGAGAATAAGTGTGATGTCAGCCCCCTATTCCGTTACCTTGTCTTCTAGATGAATGTACGCACTTCCTCCACTTGGTATTAGATGACATCCACGCTTGGCTCTCCCTCTTTCCTACACTGTCAGTTCTCCCCTGTCACTGGATGACTCGCATCGGTACCTTAACATGCTGAACATACAGCCCACCTTCAGAGAACTTCCCTCACTCCACACCTGCCCTTCAGCTGTTGGTCCATTTCTCCCCAACCTTGTAGCAAAACACCTCAAAGGAGTTTTCTGTGCTCCTTGCTCTTACTTTTCTCCCCTCCCTGCCCGTCTTTCACGGGACTCACTCAGTCAGCCTCTCATTCTCGAACCTCCCTTTACATCAGCATCACTGATGCCCCTGTCATGCCACATCTGACGGCCATCCCTGTCTTTGTCTTACTGGACCTTCCAGTACATCTGACACTCTGGATGACTCCCTCCTTCTTAAAAGTTTCCTCACTTGCCGTCTGGGGCGCCACACACCCCTCCATTTCCTGCTACCTCACTGCTGCTCCTGTCTCTTGCTGGACCCCCACTACCTGATCTCTGTATGTTAGTGCCTCTGGGCTCCGAACTTGGACTCTTCCTTTCTCTATGCCATTCAGACCTGTGGCTTTACATAACATCTTTCTGAGGACTCTCCATTTTATATTACAAGTTCTGACCTCTCCCCTAAGCTTCAGACTTTTCCAGCAGTCTCCTCAATACCTGTCTCCACTTGGCTATCCAGTAGGTGCCTCAAACTTACTATGTAGAAAGTTGAGCTCCTGCACTTCTGCTCAACCTTTAGCCCTGCTCTGCCCCAGTCTTGCAGATCTGCAAACACCAACCATCCCCCAAGGGGCTCAGGCCAGGAACCAAGAGGCCACCATGTACTCGTTCCTTCACACCCCTCACAGTGGATCTGTCAACAAGTCCTTGTGGCTCTATTTTTAGTTATATCCCAAATCTAACAACCTCTACTGCTCCCACCCCTTTGAAACCACCATCACCTTCAGCCTGGGTTGCTGCAGAAGCTCCAACGGGCCATCTTGCTTCTACACTTAACCCTGTTCAGTCTATTTACCACACAGTAGCCAGAGTGACCTTTTAAATCACAAAAATCAAATCGTAGTCTCTGCCCTGCTCAAAACCCTGTGGGTATTTCCCACCATACTTGGGGCAGAATCCAAAGGCCCAGTGTGATCTGATCTGCTAAAAGCCCCCTGCTCACTCTGGTCCAGGCACACTGGCCTTCCTACTGCTCTCTGAACACATGACGCTCATTTCTACCCGAGGGCCTTTGCACAGCTGTCCCCTCTGCCAGGAATGTTCTTTCCCTAGTTGGGTAGGAAGCCTGCTCCCTCACATGATTTAAATATCTCTTCAAATGATGTCACCAACTACTAATCAGCCCTCTTCCTCATCTCCCTTGTGTTCTTTATTCCCATATTCTTCACAGCACCTCTCCCTGCTGGACATCGCAGGACACGTTAGTCTGCTTTTCTGTCTCCCCCACTAGACCATGCTGTGAGAGCAGGAGCCCTGCCTTCTTCTCTCTAGTACTCTATCCCCAGTGCCTAGAAGAGTGCCTGGCACTCAGAGAGCCTCAATAAATATTTGCTGAATGAATTAATGGGTTAGTTAAGACGGCCACTCATAAGGGTGCTGTCTGTCGGCAGCCACGCTGTTGGCAGATGCAGTTTACCTTGTTGGCCATGCTGCTGAGGTTCTTGTCCAGTTTTCTCAGGGATGATTTTGTCGAGCATTTGTGGTGTCTGTAGACTTGCCGAAGCACCACTGCAGCCCTGCAGAAGGTTTCCTTCTCAGTTGTGTTCTAGAAAGAGAAATGCCAGAGAGTCGTACACTAGCTCTGTTTTGAACAAGGGAGAGAGACTTTTCCTTCTGGTTTCTTTTTTCCAGGAAGACACATGGAGAAGGTAAGTTAGCTCAACCATGGATCAGGTATTCAAGGATTCCTGCTGTGTGTACGGAGGCTGCTTGCCATAGCCATAAACCTCTGCAAACAGCCTCTCTAGTTATCTGCAACTCCAGCAGCCTTTTCCTCAGAAACTCCCACTTTCCTTTTCCTTGCAGAGTTTTGCTGAAAGGGTACCTGAATAAAGTCACTCAGCTAAGTAAATGACAGAGTGGGGATTTGAATGCAGACCCATCTGTCTAGAACCTAGGCCTGTTTCTCTACACAAGCTGTTCTTTCTGTGGAAGGTGCCTACCTGAGCTCACAGTCAGATTGTGCCCTCTCAGTCCTGTCAGATTGGAGAACCCAGGTCTCCCTGGAAGTCCTGCATACTTGTAGAATAACTGGATGCCCATCCTTTGGCCTGGACGGTGCTGCTTTGGGCCACACTGTCCATTTAGCTGTCCCCAGGGGAAACAGCAGTTTATGTAGAAACTCGGGGTCCAGGTAAGGAAATAAGACATTTCCCCACAGCTAGGTGAGGGTCAGGATCAGGGTGAGGCACCCCAGGAGTCTGGCCTTGGATAGGGCTCCTGTCCGGGCTTTTGACCTTGAATGTTCATGGGCAGAACCTCCTTGGAACGTGGGAGCTCTGACGTGGGTCTGGCCACATGCCTCTTCCTGGGGACGTTTGGGCCTTAGAAGAGGGAATGTACAAGCAGGGAAACAGCTCTTGTTGGGAACCTGGAAGAGGGGTTGTGTCTTAGCCTGAATCATGCCTGGTGTGTCCTCTCGCTTCCCCTGAAAAATGAGGTCACAGATCGTGGGGAGTGGTCTTAGCCTGGGTCGGATCCAGCTCAGATGAAGCTGTCTCTGTCCTCCACCAGGGTGCCCTCCAGTCCCTTGCCACTCAAAGTGCGGTTCGTGGGGCAGCAGCACAGGCATCCCCGGGCGCTTGTTAGAAACTGACTCTCAGACCCCACCCCGGCCCGCTGACTTCCACATGCGCATGCCCAGCGTCTCCAGGGGAGTTTCATAGGGGAGCACTGTCCGAGCAGCTTTGTAAGTTCTTACAGTTCCATATTTTTTTCTAACTATCAAGGTACTGTAAGTTTACTATAAAAATAATATATATTCAACAAAAATGAATTCACTCATTGTCCTGCCAGCTAGGGATAACTACTGTTATTATTTTGGTAAATATCTTCCCAAATTTTTAAAAATACTTTTTTCAAAACAGGGACCAACTATTGGTACTGCTTTGTGACCTTTTTACACGTAACATATAGTACAGGCATTTTCTTTAGTCGTTCAAAAGTATTTGGAACATGGGATTGAGTTGCTCTGTAGGATCTCTTGGCATATTTGTACCGTAACTGACCAATCTCCTATTGCAGTTTTTTGCTTTTGTAAGTAAATGCGGCAGTGAGTCCTCTGTGCAAATCTTTGCGTTCATCTCTTATTTAGACTAAATTCTAGAGCACCAGAATCCCAGACTACAAAAGCTTCCCCTTTCCCCTGTGGGAGGTGCTGGCCCACGGGCAGGGCCTGTAGAAGGGCATACACGTGATGACCTTGTGAGAGCCCTCCTGGGCCCCGATTCTAGGTGGAACTTTAAGAGCAACACCAGTATCTCTGGGCTCAGCCAAGAAACCTCCATCAAGCACCACGCCTCTGGGGCCCTCCTTGGATGAGCAGAGGCAGTGCGGCCGGCCGGGGGAGCGCGTACTCCCTGTGGATGCAGAGGGGGCGCCCCTTCGTGGCTGTAGAGAGACCAGTGAGGCTCAAGGGGCCCGAGGAGAAGAGCCCCTCTGCTGACTTTTCCATCAAAACCTAATGAGACTTTGGAGAAACTCTGGTTTGGAGCCTAGAAATTAAATTGCCTCTTAGTTTTGCATATATGGCCATATAATATAGGAAAAAACCCTTTAAAGGTATTTGTCAAAGGACTTCCTAAAGGTAAGTAGGATAAAATAGGAATTGGAGAGTTTGAATCAAGTGGGAAAACGTTAAAAAGAACCTCATTGTAAAGGCTGTTTCAGTTCCGTTGGTATCACAGCACCAGGAAGACACCCCGTGCTGCCTGCTTTGAGCTGCTTGTCCAGCTTCACTGCGACAGCCCAGAGGACCTTGCCATTCAGAGCTGCTCAGGAAAAGAGACTGAAGGGGGAGGCTCAGGCGCAGGCCAGAGGAAGCCCTGTCCTGGGAGAGGCGGAGTGCCACCTGGGAGATTTCTCCTGTGGCAGCGACTCTTATAGTTCTAACTTGGTTCTTGACTAGCTTTGTTCAGGGCCATAAAAAGTCAGTCCTGTTTGTGTCATATCCATTATCTCCGCTTCTGTTCAAATTTTGTGCACCAGCGCTATGTATAAGAAAACCCTTTACTTTCACTTAAAAAAAACCTTGAGGATTGACATAGAGCTTTCTGAGAAATTAGGAACTTTAGCTCTCTTTGGTAGGAAATACCTCCAACTAATGGTCCACCCAAGAAATCCCTCCTAGGCCAACAGGTTGCTCTCTTTGCACTTCGCGCTTCCTCAGACCCCCTTAATTTCATAGCCACCCGGGCAGGCGTTGCCTGTGGAGACCAGGATTTAGATGAGCACATTGTTTCCAGCAACTACCCGGAGAAGGATGTTACCCAACTTGAGATACAGGAATTTTTGATTCCCTAAAGAAAAAAAATTAATACACTGGATTTTGGAAAGATGTTCCTCTTCGGGGCACACAAAAATAACTTCCCCTCCTGCATACTACCTTTGTGGGTTTTGAAAAGAACAACTTTTCCTTGTTCTGAAATATCCTCATAGATAAATAATCAACATTGAGTCTTTGAGGAAAGGAAAAGTGAGGTTGTTAATCCAGGAGGAAAAGAAGCAGGTCAGGGGAAGGCATTTGAAGTAGTGGGGAGTGAAGGAAGGCAGCGGAGACTTGTTTTAGGAGATGTCTGCCAGTGCCGTGAGGGAGGTGAGGGAGAACCAATTGCAGAGGAGGCCAAGAATGGGAGGAAAGCAGCATGGCCAGGCCTGCACCTCAGCGGGGTGAGGGGTGGCGAGGTCTTCTAAAGACAGCCCAGAGTGGGGTCGCCCCCTTCCCTGGACTTGGAGGGTTTGATCGTTTCCAACCACTGGCCCCTCCCTCTTAGAGTTATTGCTTCTCTACAACCAGGGTTTTCTTTCATCAAGCATTGTATCATCTTACAAGAGCACTTTCTACTAACTCAAGAACTGTACTCCAACCAACTTTCAAAATCACTTTCATTTCTTCAGATGTGGAAACTGAGGCACAAAGAGGTGTGGAGACTTGCCAAAGGCCACACAGCTAGTTAGTAACAGAACCAGGCCTAAAACCACAGCTGTCTCGCTGTCAGGCCCTCTGCACTTCCTTCGGGGCCCTGCCCTTGGCTTTGGCAGAGCGCGCTCAGCAGTGCAGCTGCCCTCCGGGGAGCCAGGGCACAATGCAGCGGACTCTTGGCTATTTTATATACATACATATAAATGTATATTAAGTATTAATATATCATATTAACATATATAATTTTACATGTGTATAAAATCTCCAAGTCCTTCCAACCTACTGATAGGCAGAGTCTGATACATTCTGAAGGACAAAATTATATAATCTACATTTCATATTGTACATTTATATAACACTATATTACAATATTATGTATTACTATATGTCAGATTCCTGGGATAATCTTTAATGGGATGAGGTATCTAGATACAGGCCCAAAGAACAGTTTTCCTCACGAAGTAGGACGGGCCTGCTTTATGACCTAGGTGCTGGGCTGTGGCCCTGCCCAGCCCACAGGGCTTCCCTCCTGGCCAAGCAACCCCCCTGGTGCATGAGGAAAGCAGGTGGTTAGGAGACCACTGGTAAATCGAAGCTTTGGGTTTTTCATTCTCAGTCGTGTGTTTCCATGAAAACAGGAACTGATCTGCACAAAGCTATTGATATGTGTGTAGTCATGTGTTTGTCAGAGAAAATGCACTATCAGCTGTCAAATCTATCTCCTCCCACAGCAGATGGAGGGGCGGGGGTGATGCGCACAGGAGGTGGAAAGGTGAGATGCCCAAGCAGCCGGAAGCAGGGATGAGTTGGACCCCATCCGGCAGGACGGTTCCGGACCAGGCTGGAGGGGAGCTGGCGGGGCAGAGCAAGCCGAGGGTCTCCGGACAGCCCTCCCGGAGCTGGCGGGCTGCTAGATGACCAGGCTGCGAAAGAGGAGGGGCTCTGGCAATACCTTCTCTCTTGCCATAGGAAGTCTCTTAGACAAAATGAAAGCTCCCTCGACCTGTAATCTCAATATCTGTTTTCGTGAGAGTATTTGTTTTTTCGGAAACGTATGAGCCAGAAAATTCTCTCCAACAAGCATTTATTGAGTGCCTCCTATATTCCAGGCACTAGGCCAGGGCTGGGTAAATCCTAAAGAGCTTTTCCTTGACCAGGATTTGAATTAGGGTTACAAAATCCAAGCTTTCTATTACACATCTTCTAAATCAAGTGTAACCAGAAACACCAAAACATGATTTGAGAGTAAAGATCAGAATTCTCATTCTTCGAAAACATTTAACTCATAGTTAATTTGGGCCTGTTCGCTTTCTGTTAGAAATGTTTCTTGTTCAAACACTTGTGGATGACTCCCCTGTCCCAAGTTACCCATCTGCCAAGCAGACCACCCCAGACAGTTCTTACCTTCGGGGCAGCCAAGACGTCCGCTACAGTCAGCTCCATGCACAATGAATCCTTGGCCTAGGCGGGAACGAGAGAGCAAGAGACAGTGTTACCTCCAACTAAGCGGAGAATCCTTCCCAAGCAGCTCTCACTCCCTCAAACTGACAAAACTTCCTATAATCCCTCGGGGAAAAAAAAGCACCAGGGGAGACATCTTCCATTACCATCCACCAACTACCAACTTCTCTAGAAGCTGTTATGTTCTTCTCATAGTCTAAGAAATACCCGCAGCATCACCACACTTTTGGAGAGATGGTGCCAGATAGTTCACTCACCTTTTTCGCTGTGAGGATGTTCAGCGTTTTGATGATCTCTTCTAAGGTGATGTTGTACTTGCGTCCATGGATGAAGTTGCTGGTACATGCTAGTAAGCAGACCAGAGCTGGAATCAGCTGGGAGGTGAGACCCATTAATAGCTCTCTATTTGTAACGACACTGTGTGACAATTAGTTTACCAGGAGAAGCTACCAATGCAATTCTGACAATGATATCTCTATATATAGAGTTAAAATTGCTGAAACCGAGGGAAAATGAGTTTACATTGGAAATTTTCATTACCCCAGGTTGGGGCCAATCAGCGCGCCTCTTCCAGGAGAAACGTATGCCTCACAGAAACAGGTGAAATGTTCCTGTGAAATCAGACCAATAGGAAAATGAAACCTTTTTTTAAAATTAACTACAAAGTATCAGCATAGGAAATTACACCATAATTTACTCTTTAGATTAATCTTATCAGCTCGGGGTTGTTGCTGTCTTTTTGCTTTGAAGGAGGAGGCCACAGGTGTCCGAATTTGTTGTAGTGCAGCCCTCTTGGGGAAAGATAGAGTAATATCAAGAAAGTTTGACTTGAATGGTATTTCAACCTGGCTTTTTCCAAGTATGGGTGGTACCTTGGAAACTTTTCTTTTGTGGAAAAGCTGATGTGCGGTTCTGTATCTGGGTAGAAGGAAAGTAACGAGCACAGATTCTCTCCTGTCCTGGCACTCGGGCGTGCCATTCCCCCAGGTAAAGGGCAGATGATGCCGGGCAGGGCTGAGCTGGCGCCACAGCAGATGCATAGAAGGAGGTGCGAGGCATGTTAGGTCCAACCGAGGTTTCAGGAATGACACTCTTTAAATGGAACTTAAATACATCTTTAGCCAGTTGGGAAAAAGAGCCACAACCTTACTGATGTACAAATCAAATGTCTTCGTTGATGCCCACCACCCACCTGCTTCTTTCGTCCAGCTCCCCTGCACCTGGCGAGGTGCTGAGCACGCCCACCGTCCGCGCACATGCAGCAGGATTGCTGTGCCCCCGGCAAGCCGTGCTTTTCCTCCCTGACCTCTCCTCCTGTCTGCTCTCCACTTCCCTTATCTTGGTTTCCAAGCTTCCTCCCCCTACTGACCTTCCTCTGGAAGGTCACATAGAAAATATTACTACTGTGTTCCGGATCCTATTGCAGTGCCCTGTGCTCTGAAGGGGAGTTCCTGGATCACTGTATCAGAAAAGTCCGACCACGTTTAGGATGCTTCCATCGGGACCGTGCAACAAGTTTGCCAGGCTCGAGGCAGTCGCTGCTGACACCAACTATGTGGAGTTGGGCCACACCACACACGTTCAGGGCACAGCCTTCACAAGATGGCCCTCACTCGCACAGCAGCTGCAGATTTGGGGGTTCAGGCCACTCTCACTTCAGGCCAACTGGCTACAAATTCCAGCTTCCCCATTATGCCCTCGGGTTCAGTAATTTACTAGAATGACTCAACTCAGGGAAGTGCTGTACGTTTTTATTAGAGCAAAAGGATACCAATCAAATACAATCAGTGAAGTTTAAAAGGATTCCAAACACAAAGCTCCTGCTGTCTTCTCCCGGTGGATTCAGAATGTGTCACCTCCCTAGCGCCTCAGTGTGTGACAACATGCAGTGTGCTTCTAAGCAGGGCGGTTCACCTGAGCGCCATGCTGTGGGCGTGACTGACTGAATCGCTGGCCACTCCGTTGGCCTTCTCCCCGGCCCCTTCCCTAGAGGTTGGACTGATACCACAATAGCTTAATGGTGTGACGGGCCCCCCACCTTGAGTCACCTTATTAGCATAAACTCAGGGCCCACCAGGAATGGCGAAGACGCCTATGACTTGGGAAATTCCAAGGATTTAGGGGGTACCCCTCAGGAACTAATGACAAAAAACAGCCGAATTCTTTATTGCAGGAGTTTAGAGGTTATCTTCCAAGAGGGGGACAAAGGTCAGACTTCATCGGGTACAGTAATTCCTTCTTTTTAAAATAGGCATTTCTCTTTTTCCCTCCAGTTTTATTGAGATACAATTACATACTGCATTGTATAAGTTTAGTATGTAGAGCATAATGATTTGACTTACATATATTGTGAAATGATTACAAGTTTAATTAACATCTGTCATAAAGATAAACAAAAAAAGGAAAAGAAAAAAAATGTGTTTTTCCTTGTCGTGAGAACTTGGAATCTACCCTCTTAGCAACTTTCAGATGTGCCTACGGCAGCGTTCTCAAGAGTCATGTCCATGACATCCCAGTGCCTTATCTTATAACCGAAAGCTTGTGCCTTTGATCACCTTCATCCAAGGCCCCCTCCTCCCACCCCACACCTCTGCTAAACACAAAGCTGAGCTTTTCTTTCTCTGAGTTTGGTTTGTCTGTTTGCTTGTTTTTAGATTCCACATAGTGATATTATATAGTATTTGTCTTTCTCTGTCTGACTTGCTTCACTTAGCATAATGCCCTCAGAGTCCATTCATGTTGTCACAAATGGCTGGATTTCCTTCCTTTTTATGGCTGAATTATATACGCGTGTGTGTGTGACATCATCTTTATCCATGTATCCATCGGCGGACCCTCGGTTGTGCCCATGCCTTGGCTATTGTAAATAATGCTTCAGCGAGCACAGGGTGCAGGTATCTTTTCAAGGTAGTGGTTTTATTTCTGTTGGATAAATACTCGGAAGTGGGATTGTTGAATCATGTGGTAGCTCTATTTTTAATTTTTTTGAGGAACCTCCATACTGTCTCCACAGTGACTGCACCACTTTGAAATCCCACCAGCAAGGATGCCCTTTTCTCCATGTCGTCACCAGCATTTGTCATCTCCTGTCTTTTTCACGATGGTCGTTGTAACAGGTGCGAGGTGGTACCTGCCTGTGGTTTTGGTGTGCGTTTCCCTGATGATTAGTGATGTTGAGCACCTTTTCATGGACCTCTTGGCCATTTGTAGATCTTCTATGGAAAAATGTCTCTTCGGGTCCTTTGCCTGTTTTTAAATTGGATTATTTTTTGCTAGGGTAGGTTAATCCTTCACCACAGACAGGTGGAGTTTATGAGACGGGCAGATACTTCCTTCCAGAGCAGGTGGAGACCTCAATTCAGATGAACTCTTATTTGGAGTAAAATGGTACACACACCTTTTTTGAGGAGAGATTTAAGTTAAAACAGGAGCGACACACTGGAGGAGAGTCCAGGTTGCAGCGTACAGCCTCGGAGCCTGGAGTTGGAGGGGAGGCTGGCGAGGAGGGAAGGCGGCAGGGCTCCTGCCGAGGAGTGCGTGAGGGCGACAGAAAGCCCCACGTGCTCAGCAGTGGCTTTGTGAGTGCCCGACTTCACCGAGGGCCAGACCCTGGGCTGGGGGCTCTGGGGACAGACATGTGGGTCAGAGAAGGAATAGAATATGGGAGCCAGTAGCTCAGAAGCAGAACACAGCTTTTCTGGGGTTTTTTTCCCAATGGTTGGATAAGGCCAGGGAAAAAGGATTTGCTTTCCAGAACATCAGGGAGGGAGTAACAGAGGTCCCCTTGAAGGGAAGTAGAAAGGGACTGTCTGCAGTGCAGCACGGTTGGCAGCGGTGCACGTGGCCGCCTGGGCAGAGGCCAGGAAGGTGGGGGCCTGTGGGAGTCGTGGGTGGGCAAATTGAAGACCCTCTTCCCCTTACCCTCTGTGGGAGCTGACTACAAGCGCTGGCCCATGTGGCCTCAGAGCGTCCCCTTCGGGCCCTGAACCACACCAGTTATGAGCACTGGGTTTACAGTTTAGCAAACGGGCCACTTGTCTGCCACGTGATCGTGGGCAGGTCACCAACTCTCTCTGGGTCTCAGTTTCCTCACCGGTGAACTGAGAATAGTGCAGTTCCTCCTCATGGGATTCCCGTGAGGGGTGAGGGAGAGGACCCATGGAAAGCGTTAGGCTCCTGTCACGCATCACGGCCCAGGGGGGGCCGGGCAGCCCGGCAGTGCTGACTGCTCTGCTCCGTCACTGGGACGGTGGCCCCACAGCCAGCCGCCTCTGCAGAGTGAGGGCGACATTGTACCTGCCTCATGGGGTTCTGAGGAATAAACAAGTTAATGTTTTTAAAGTAGTCAAAACAGTGCCTGGCACATAGTGAGTGCTCTGTGAGTGGCAGCAGCAGCGTTATTATTATTTTTAAAATATATCTTTATTGATTTCAGAGAGAGGACAGGAGAGGGAGAGAGAGATAGAAACCTCAATGATGAGAGAGTCACTGATGGAGCCCACAACCTGGGCATGTGCCCTGACCGGGAATCGAACCCCGATCTCCTGGATCCTGGGTCAACGCTCAGCCGCGGAGCCACGCCCGGCCGGGCAGCAGCGGCGTTATTCATCACCATCATCTTCGAATGACTGTGGTACTTAATGTGTTTGGCAAACCCGAGCCTGGACAGGGCCAGTGGAGGCTTTGCCAGCAGACACTTCCCCACACGTGACCCTCCTGGATGTGTCCCCTCTTTAGTCTTTGAGGCCCAATCCTTTTTCTTGGGGAGTCACCTTTAGTTGCTACACTGCACCCCTCATATTTATGCGCCTGGATTCATTGCAGGAAACAGATACTGCTGTGGGCACCTTAGGCAGAAAGCACGCAGGGCAGGAAAGTAGGTGCGTGTAAAATGTTGGAGGCTGGAGGAGCAGGCCCCAGGCCGGGCCCACCGCTCTGAAGGAAGGGTCCATACGAAGAACCGCTAGCCTTGAAGCTGCCAGTGCAGGTCTGAAATTTAAGAACACACCCCTGAGGTCACAATCCAGGGATCTCAGAGCTGGGTTTCTCCCGATACCCCAAAACTGCTCAGGAGTAAGCCTCGGGGCCCCAACCCAAGGGAACAGGAAGGTGGCATCTGCCTCCCTGCCTCCCACAGCTCCCTGGAGAATTCAGGTGCAGACTCACTTCAGGGGGGTCGGGGACTGAAGTGTAAGCATTCCAGGGAAATGCTGGAGGTTGAGGGGAGCGGCCCAGTCTCCTGTGGCTCCTGGCTCATGTTCCTTGTCCCCGCCCCCAGCCCTGGAAATAGTCTTCCTCCTCTCTGTCAGCTGAGCAGACAACACACAGAAGAGCCCCTTCCAACTCCTCTTAACCAGCCATTTTCATGAAAACGGGAGTCCCTCCAAGGGAGTGATGTTGGCAGAGACTGGAGTAGGTAGGCCCTAGCCAGACAGGGGAAGGCCCCCAGGACCTGAGGAAAGCCAGAGGGCCTGGGAGGGGAAGCCAGTTAGACACGGCATGTCCATCTGTCCGGGGGGATAGGGTGGGGCTGTGTGTGTGAGGTGCTCAGCAGGTGGATGTGAAGGCCCTGTGTCCTGGCACCTACAGGACCTGGTAGCTCTGTGCCCGAGCTCTGCCACTCGCTCTCGGGATGACCTTGGAAAAGTTACCCTGTCCAGGCTTCTCTGGCAAACTGAGCTAATTAATAATAGGGGTGTGGGCGCTGGCCAGGTGGCTCAGTTGGTTGGAGTGTCATCATGTACACCAAAGGGTTACGGGTTTGGACCCAGTCAGGGCATATACCTAGGTTTCAGGTTTGATCCCCAGTTGGGGTGTGTACCAGAGACAACCGATCAGTGTTTCTCATATTGATGTTTCCCTCGCTCTCTCCCTTCCTCTCTAAAATCAATAAAAAAAAAATCCCCAGGTGAGGACTTAATATAAATAATGGTGTGGGAAGATTATATGAGGTAATAAAGATGAAGTGTTTGGTGTGGTGCC